AAATTAATAATCCACAAAATTGGTCAGATTTAAGGCAAAGTACATGATGTAAAATCATAACATCTGAACCAAAGATTGTTGTTTGTTACATAAAATCAAATCAAATCGTTAATATTAGCGTTGACTAATATGAAGTGTTAACTTGAATCAGTTTATAAGTGAAATGAAATTGTGAGATAAATAATGATCAGAATAAATATGGTCAAAATGGAGTGTGAGAGAGAAAATGATGTAATTATAAATCGAAAATTACGTAATATGTAGAATAATATGAATTAGGTACCTTCTACTTGAAGTTTGTGCTCATGATGTCATTCAGAAGAACGATGAAAGCTCCACAACTAAACCATCCAGCTAAGAGAACAAAACTCCATCAAAAATGAATTGGGTACAAATGAGTAGATAGGGGTGGATACTGAATAAATTCCTCAAAATAGTTAGCAAGTGTTATAATAATTTTAACAATAATAGTAATAATAATAATTATGACAATGGTATGATGTGTGGATAAGTTTAGGACATAAAAATGAACATCAATCAAATTACGTCACCATATCATCAAAATGACTATTAACTAGTTAGGCTGGAAGTTGGATATCTGGTGACATAAATTAACATTTAACCAATAAAAGAGCATAAGGGATGCCTAACTGTGAACAAAAAGCCGCTGTATATATGCGCTTACAATTCAGTGACGATGAACCTAGTGAAACGGTTGGACAGATCAATCCAAAGAATTTTTATTGCAGGCAAATGACAATTAATACTTTCTATGCATCCGATGATCACTTCGAGGTTTAAAGATAAATTACCTAGACTAGCCACTTCTTTCTGTATCTATCAATTCGACTGCTACTGTGGGGCTATTCATATTGGCAAGTGTCCTAGGAATTTGTATTTTTGGGCTGGTGAGCACCTCCCACTGTGGTTAATCAAAGGTGTAGTTAAAACTGTTAACAACACCATTTTAATTCATTGAATTCAAACGAGACATACAGCCAACGTGGAGCAATCTTTCACAATAATATATCCTATTAGCAGCAGTCTGTCTAATTCCGTCACACTGAGAATCCTGAAGACAAATGAAGTAATTGTTATTCGGATCGAAAGGCCAGAGCTTTGCATCCAAAAAGAATATATTCAGCCGATCCTTTTATCCTGCCAACTTCAGGTACAACTAGTTAATAGTCAATTTGTTGATATGGTGACGTAATTTGATTGATGTTCATTTTTATATCCTAAACTGATCTTGCCCACACTTACTTAATTACTTACGCCTGTTACTCCCAATGGAGCATAGGCCGCCGACCAGCATTCTCCAACCCACTCTGTCCTGAGCCTTTTCTAATTCCATCCAATTCTTGTTCATTTTTCTCATGCCTATCTCCATTTCCCGGCGTAATGTGTTCTTTGGTCTTCCTCTTTTCCTTTGGCCTTGAGGATTCCATGTGAGGACTTGTCTTGTGACGCAGTTGGGTGCTTTCCTCAATGTGTGTTCTATCCACTTCTAACGCTTCCTAATTTCTTCCTCCTCTGCGATCTCGTTTGTTATTTCCAACAGTTGGTTGTTGCTAATAGTGTCCGGCCAACGGATCTGAAGTATTTTGCGTAGACAACTGTTAATAAACACCTGTATCTTCTGGATGATGGCTTTCGTAGTTCTCCAGGTTTCCGCCCCATACAGTAGAACTGTCTTGACATTTGTACTGAAAATCCTGACCTTGGTGTTGGTTGACAGTTGCTTTGAGTTCCAGATGTTCTTGAGTTGTAAATATGCTGCTCTTGCTTTTCCGATCAGCGCCTGCACATCTGCATCAGATCCACCATCGTGTTCATCAATGATGCTGCCTAGATATGTAAAGGTTTTTACATCTTCCAAGTCTTCTCCGTCAATTGTGGTTGGATTGGTGCATACTGTATTGTATCGGAGAATCTTACTTTTCCCTTTGTGTATGTTGAGACCTACTGGTGTTGAGGCTGTTGCTACACTGGTCGTCTTCTCCTGCATTTGTTGTTGCGTTTGGGATAGAAGGGCCAGATCATCTGCGAAGTCTAGATCGTCCAGTTGCGTCCTAGATGTCCACTGTACCCCGCGTTTCCCTTCAGATGTTGACTTCTTCATGGTCCAGTCGATCACCAGGAGAAAGGGAAAGGATGAGAGTAAGCAACCTTGCCTGACACCGGTCTTTACCTCGAACAAGTCTGTCCATTGTCCTCCACGCACAATTTTGCAGTGTAATCCATCATATGAATTCTGTATGATATTGACTATCTTCTGGGGTACGCCGTAGTGTCTAAGAAGTTTCCATAGTGTTGTTCTGTTTACGCTATCAAATGCCTTTTCGTAGTCAATGAAGTTGATGTAGAGTGATGAATTCCATTCAATTGATTGTTCCACAATGATCCGTAGAGTTGCGACTTGGTCTGTACAGGATGTATCCTTTCGGAATCCTTCCTGTTGGTCTCGAGGTTAGACGTCTACGCAGTCCTTCATCCTGTTTAACAATACCCTGCTGAGGACTTTTCCTGGTATTGAGAGAAGAGTGATGCCCATGTAGTTATCACAGTTGCTGACATTGCCTTTCTTCGGTATTTTGACCAGAAGTCCTTCTTTCCAGTCTGTTGGTACTCGTTCCTCATCCCAAATCTTATTGAAGAGAATGTGGAGTATCCTTGCAGTTCGCTCCGGTTTACGGTGATTTCCATAGAGTTTCTTTGTCGTGTCATACAGTTTCCTCATGTTTTCTTCTCTTGCATCCTTTTACGTTGCTAAATCTTCCACATATTTACTCCGCCTGAAGTCCCCCCGTGGGCTACTGCCGGTCCCAAGCCCTGATAAAGGAGGATGGTTGGGCATGGGGTTAGCGACCCCATCCCGTGGAAAACTAACTCGCTAAAAAAACGCTAACCAGAAAAAATTATTCAAACGTTTTAATCTTATCCATACACCTTACCATAATTATTATCACTACTATTACACTTACTAACATTTTTGAGGAATTTATTCAGTATCCACCCCTATCTACTCATTTGTACCCAATTCATTTTTGATGGAGTTTTGTTCTCTTAGCTGGATGGTTTAGTTGTGGAGCTTTCATCGTTCTTCTGAATGACATCATGAGCACAAACTTCAAGTAGAAGGTACCTAATTCATATTATTCTACATATTACGTAATTTTCGATTTATAATTACATCACTTTCTCTCTCACACTCCATTTTGACCATATTTATTCTGATCATTATTTATCTCACAATTTCATTTCACTTATAAACTGATTCATTCACTTCATATTAGTCAGCCCCAAAATAACCGATTTTATTTTGTTTTTTATGACAAACAATCCCTGGTTCAAATTCATTTTGTATTGTTTATTTGAATCTCCCCATTAATGTTTTGAACTGCAATCAGTATCTTATTGGCACATATGCATCATATCAGGATTGTCTCGATATTATCGTAAGTTACAAGAACTATATGCAAATATGGATGGTAGCTAGAAGTGGAATCTAAGATGCGGGTTGTTAAACACTTGGATATAAAAGAATGAGTGACAGATCAGTGTATAACAATATTTAATCATAGAGCGATGACTCACAAGATATTTGATGCAGACTAAATGGAATGTGGTTGACAATGGAATCTAAAACACGCATTTCGTCCCATTTGGGACCCGTTAGTTATACGAACCTGCATCTCAGAGTTGATGTTCACTCTAAAACTCAAAACGGGTACCGTTCACTTCAAACCTCATCGCGTTATTACTTCAAGTCTAGATAGTCCATCACTTGTGCAACAGGTATGAGATTTAATTTAATTTAAAATGGTTTGGATTGATCAAACATCCATAAAAATTATAAAAAACTTGATAATCCAAACCGTTTCAAATTCTATTAGTATTATGTTTGTTCAACCCTTAGTACTAATTAAATTCTATTGATTAATGAATTGTAATATGCCCTTTAACCTAGGCGATTTGACACTGAGTATTGTGTTGATGTCTGGGAATAGTTTTCCTGAGTTCTTTCTGACGACTGCTTATAACTACATAAACAGATCAATTCGCCGTAGAACTCTGTTTAATTCTATTACAAATAGTTTTAATAGTGCGTAGATTTTTGTCCCATAACCAGTATATCGCCCCCAAATGCCTTGGTATGGCCGAGAGAGGGGTGGGCCTGCCCCTCCTCTCGAAATGCTCTCACATGGCCACGCGTATACAGCCTCTGCCAGGGAAGTCCTACTCACTGCCTTTTCGTGGCGAGGGTGTTGTTTACGAAAATGAGAGGACGAAAAGCGAATGTCCGGCGCTTTAACCGGATTCCAAACCAATGGTGTACATGGGCTCCAGTATCCTGCGGGAACAAATGACGTATGAACCAATCGTTGGTCACCGGCTACCATGGAACTGCATCTCCTCACGATGCTCCACTGCCTAGTGGGTCAGAGCTTTAGGTCAAAGGCTCCGGGTGTGGCCTCCTAAGAAAACCACCTGCTTCGATCTGGGCACCATGGCAGTATCTTAGCCCTCACACAAATCGAATGATTAATGTGGCGCATATCTCTTTGGTGCCTCCTTGTACCAATGTATATGTGTTTAAATAAATAAATAAAGAAAATCTATCACAATCATTAAAGCAAAACACAGATCCGTATGAAAGTAGTTTTAATAAAGAGATAATTATAAGTAATTAATATTCACTTGAATTTATATACAATTTCTTTGAACATAATCAATAGGAAGGATAATATTCGGTTACTTTTCAGATTGTAAGATAATATAGAAAGAGAGAAATGAAAACTTCAATAATTAAATGTACTTAGATAATTTACTTGCCATTATTATTATTATTATTATTGTTTGTAATGTGTGTATCATTTTACTTATGAAAGAAGTCACTAATTAGGTTGGTAATATTAATACTACTACTAACCATATGTAACACATTTACACTAGATCTGTGTTTGAGAAAGATTAAGTGTGGAGGAAAAGACACTTTTTTATATGTTCGGTAGGTGTATTCCAATCAAATTTGATTGAAGTGTACTGTGTGCAACGTTTGTATCGTTAGAATTATGCCCATTGTCTATATTTGATGAATTATTATTATTATTGTTATTATTATTATTAATGTCCGGATTTGGGAAATATGATATCGAATTGTTACTGTTTGTTGATGTCATAATCATTTGATTTGATTTAGGATATTTCCATCCTAAATTAGATTTCTGATTACCTGTTACCATCATCATTGATTGAGCATTGTTATTTGATGGTGTAGATGTAGTAGTTACTGGGATTGGTTGTAAATGTAGATTAGTTGGCAGAGCAGGCAGTCCTATTTGCGACGGCTACAATGATCATTTGATAAAGACAAATGTGTAAATAAAGAACATAGAAAACGGTCAAAGAAGTATAGATGTTTTGAGAATATTTTTCATTTCATGATACATTAAGACTGATATGCTTTAAAAAATGTCTAGACAACCAATTACAGCTAGGCGACGATTTGTTGATTGGATCATTCATGAATCTCAGTAAAAGTATGATATAGGGACAATTTTGAAAGAATCTTAACAAAATCGAGTTGTTTTAAAGCTAACTTTCACTAATTAGCAGAGAGTCTCTATGAATCAAATGTATTTCGCAACAGAAAGAATGTGACCTTTTCGAGCTCAGCGGTTTTGGAAATATTTATCGCCTTTTTTAAAAGGCATATTATTAATTTTCCGAATTTAATTTCGTAAAAATACCGCCATATAACATCATTAATATGAGTGTGAATTGATGCACACTAATTCATTTCTTTCTGAATCTTTCTCATGTTTATTTATGTAAAATTCATCATGACTTAAGAAAAACATTGAAAAATTCACTGCGGTATCGAAAATTAAACCATAAGAGAATAATAGTCACCATGTTGCTATGACGAAGTCATGCGTAGAAGTTATTATGTAATTTCAGTAGTCCTGTATTTTCATTTTTGTAAGTCTATTAGAAATTGTGCCAAGAAAAATGATCGGTTCATGTGTTATGTAAAATCTGTGCAATAAAAAGTGAGCACTTGATATGTTGACCAATGTGATTTTTTCAGTATGAAGATAAAAAAGTTTTTTTTAACGATTCTAAACGTTCTGAGAGCCTTTATGAAGGTATTTCTAATTTGTATTTTGTGCACTGATAGATTATCATCATCATTATCATTCATTTTTGAAATTCGCGCAAAAACTTGAAAGTAGTTCTCTGTATTCTAATTAATTTATCCTTACACTAAACTTTGGCTTGAATCGCAAACATAAAGTCTCACAGGTCCAAAATACATTCACCTCCCTTACTTTGAAGAGCCAAAAAGAAATACTTAATATACACACATAAGCTACACCTTAGAACTCAGTGCATAAACCTATACTTTGCTAATAACTTAGTATGTATCATTTACATTTTAATTTCACTATTAGTGAATTGATTAAAGTTACAAATATAAACCACTAGATCTCAACTCAGAAGGTCTAAAGATTAAGCTCTCTTCATGAAATCTGATGGTCCTCGGAAAGGTCATGGATGCATACTATTGAGGAGGCTCATACTGAAAAGAAAAAGCTGTCCGGTAACTTCTAGACTTCAATGGTTGTCTAACAAAGGTCAGTCTGATAACGCGATAAAAAGATGACATTATTTAGGTCAGTACTTTTTGTACCGATTCATGGAGAATTTCTACCAGGGTGACAGGTATGAACTTTCATTCAATGTGATATTTATATTACTTGTATTAATCTAGATAAATTGTATTCTGTGTCTATTTTTATGTATTTTCGCCAATATCTGATATTACTAAGTGTATAAAATTAATATATAAATGATTGTATTTTGGTATGAAGGCAGCATGATTTCGGTACTTGTTTGGGAATGTGGTTTTACAGTCATTCCTAGAGGTTTTTGTTTTTTCATTTCTTGTCATGGAAATTGCAATGGTTACTGTTTCCAACTATAAGCAGTAGGATCATTGAATTACAGTATTTTCCAACTGATGATTCAAAACAATAAGGCTATGAACAAAACCGATTCGACAAAGAGATAACAGCGACGACACGTGGATATAACTACGGCAACAACAGACATAACTCACTCCATGATGTAAACTGTAATGATTAAATTTCATTATGGTACAGTATTTATCTGTAATACTAAGCAGACTTGAATTTCCAGGTCACATAACTAGTAAATTTCCTTAATTATCCACAATAAATCAAAGTTGATAAGTTTTTTTTACAAGAACTATGATCAGATGAAAGCAAATTCATTGTTAAGTATCTGAATGTAACTTGAGTAGTATCATATTTGAACTAACCGTTAGATGTTAGTGAACATCTATTGTCAATTGTACACTTGATATTATACATTACATATTACAATTAATATGTAAACTTTTTGACGGTCATTTCAATAAATTTTACCTGGACAGATACACAGATATCAAATACAAGCTCAAAGTTAATTCTATTAAATTTTACTTGACTACTGAATTATATTCAGCTATGTCGACAACAAATAATTTCAAATGTCGGTCAATGTTTAACTTTGACGAAATTAAACAGTTTCATTTTAGTTTTTAACTTTTTAGGAGCGTACACCTATTACCTCACACTAAACCAAACATATGACTATTAATGAAGATAACATCCTTTCTAGGATCTAATTGTTTAAATTACTAGTTATCGTTACATTAACATTCTATTCATTGGTTTATAGTGATTTTTTGTTTCATTTTACAGTCAGTTTTCACCTAGAATTATTAGATTAAAAGTCAAATGAACTAACCAAAAAAACGGTATAGATACAATTACAGAAGAGGCCATTAATTGATATGATTACTTTTCTATTATGGCAATCAATGTTTATGAATACAATTACAAATAATAAACACAGAATTCAATTTCATAGTAAGGGATTGAGATTGATTCAGTTGACGAGTCTCAAATAAGACGGAACTCGTATCCTAGATTTCATTGCTAGTCAAACATTAAATATGATTCAGCTTTATATTTTACATATTTGGATATCATATTCATCCTTTATTTGGAGTGTGTGAATTGGTCATATGCTTAGTTGAAGAGTCCGAATATAAAAATTATTAGCTATATCATATATTCAATTTTATGAAATCGACAATAGGTAGATGCTGGATGAAAGCTTGTTTTTGGGAGAAAAATAGTTTATTTACCGATATTTCCATTAAATTGTCAGAGGCTTTACACTTATTGATATAAATACACCAAGGACAAAGTTGAACAATTAAGAGACAATATCATACCACAATCTTCATCCTATACAAGCCTCTGGGGGAACAGTGTTACGTTATAATGATCAATAATCAACTAGTTTTCCCATTTATGCTTTTTTGTAAATGACACTAATTGTAACTTATAAATACTAATTATTTTGGTTATAAAATTATTGTAGTTTACTTCACGAACTGATTTTAGTTAAACAACTTCTGAATAGATATTTCAACTCGTTATACAATATTCAGCACTTCAAATTGATGACTGAGTGAGAGATCAAAGAAGTAGCAGATCTTCAGGGCTTGTTACATCAAAACCAATGATTATCTGGCGAAAATCAATCTGTAATGATGTAAAGTTTTTCATAGATCCAACCTTTAAAGGTTCATTTTACATGTGATTTATTTAAAATTAATGTGCATAAAAGTTTACTAAAGTATAGTAATAATAAATTTTGATAAGGAATTCTTTTAACTAATTAGTTGTACGTACATTATATAGACTTTGACCAACAACTCCTGGAACAAACCAGTTTGTTCGACCAGCATTAAAACTTGGTGTAATACTACTAGTTGGAGGGAAACATGTCGGTGAAATTGAATTGGACTCATTTTGTGGTGTAGCAGTTGTTTGATTTCGATCAGTAGATTGTTGCGGAATTTGCTGTTGTTGATATTTACGTCTTGGGATCATTGTCCCAGTACTAATTTGATTAATCATAACTGGTTTATTTTGTGAATTTTGAATGAAATTACGTTCAGCTTTTTTTTTCATTCCATGATTATTATAACCATCTCCACATGAACTACATACTTGTTTTAATTCACCATGATAATAATGTGGGTGTCTTCCGTGCATTTCCATATATGGATGTTTTAATAATGCCTCACTATTAAGTCGTTCTGTAGGATCCATGCTTAAACAGCTCTAAATTTAATGAAAATAAATAATTCAATAATTATGGAACTGGCGTTTAATAGCAAGAACTGAATGACTTGAAGTTTTCCTACCACGGGATACCCAATCTACTATTTAATTTTGAAGACTGAAATGAGAACGAAGGTTTAATCACTAAACTAAACTATAATGCACAAAAATCATAGGAATGTATACGGTTGTTCTTCTGACCTAGACAAAGATATGTTGACTGATACCTTGAGTAGGTACATCATTGACTTCTTTGGCAAAGCTGAATATAAAGGGCAAGCTTGAGGGGATCTGTGAACTAAAATAACAATCTGTTAACCTATTCAGCCAATAAGAATACTGGAAATATCAATGACCGATTTATGATGCCATGATTAAGATTCAAACTCAGTATTTAGGATTTAAATTCATAGTATAGGTTTTAGAGTTAGAATTAAGATTTGTAGTTTGTAATTTAGGGTTAAAAATTTAAGGATTTGTATTAAATTTAGCTCAAGTTACACTGTACATCCTAGCCCTGACTGAACTCTAAACTCTACGTCCTAATCGTTTTTCAAATACGTTTTTCTTAAACTCCGCCTGTAGCTCTTCCAGAGTTACTGCCGGTCCCAAGCCCGGGTAAAGGAAGAGGGTTGGGCATGGGTTTAGCGTCCCTATCCCGTAGAAAACTAACTCGCTAAAAAAACGCTTACCGGAAAAAATAATTCAAACCATTTTAACTCTGCCCTCGGAGTTAGGTCTTCATTTAGAAGAATTATGACGCTTCATGGTGAAAGCCGAATTCCTTCGGAAGCCACGAGGCCGATGCCCCTTCTAACAACCAGAGCAACAATATTTATAGGTACATCGAACGTCCGGACAATGTGGGAAACCGGGAAGACCAGTCAAACAGCAACGGAAATGAGGAGATACAACTTGGCAGTACTGAGAATCAGCGAAACCCATTGGACCCAAGCTGGACAACAAAGGCTAAATACGGGAGAGATGCTACTATACTCCGGTCACGAAGAGGAAAATGCTCCACACACTCAGGGAGTTGCTCTAATGCTGTCCGAAGTAGCACGAAATGCACATGTAGGATGGAAATCTCACGGATCCCGAATCATCAAAGCATCATTCAAAACAAAGAAGGAGGGGATCACAATGAATATTATCCAAAGTTATTCACTCACCAATGATAGCAACGACGACATTAAGGATCAATTCTACGAGCGGCTGCAGTCAATCATAGAGAAGTACCCAAGAAAGGACCTCACCAGATAACATGGAACGACATGGACTGGATGAGAGAAACGAAAATGGAGAAAGATTTGCAAATCTGTGTGCATTCAACAAATTGGTCATAGGAGGCACAATATTTCCACACAAACGTATACACAAAGCTATATGGATCTCACCGGACCACACTACAGAGAACCAGATAGATCATATCTGCATCAACAAAAAATTCCGAAGGACAATGGAAGATGTGAGAACCAGGAGAGGAGCTGACATAGCTTCAGATCACCACCTAGTTGTGGCCAATTTAAAAGTGAAGCTAAAGAAAAACTGGACAACTGGACAAACAGCACTACAAAGGTTCAATATAGCCTTCCTTCAAGATACTGACAAACTCAATGAATTCAAGATAGCTGTCAACAACAGGTTCCAAGCCTTACAGGATCTACTGAAGGAAGAAGAAACCACTATGGAGGACAACTGGAAAAGTATCAAAGAAGCATTAACTTCAACGTGTCAAGAGGTTCTGGGTCTAAAGAAGCACCATCATAAGGAATGGATCTCTACAGAAACACTGGACAAGATCAAAGAAAGGAAGAACAAGAAGGCAGCAATAAACAACAGCCAAACACGAGCGGAGAAAGTCCAAGCACAAGCTGAATACATAGAAGCAAACAAACAAGTGAAGAGGAGCATTAGAGCCGACAAGAAGAAGTACGTGGATGAACTAGCAACGACGGCGGAAAAAGCTGCAAGAGGAAATATGAAACAGCTTTACGATACAACGAAGAAACTAGTAGGGAAATACAGTAAACCAGAGAGACCGGTCAAGGAGAAAGAGGGCAGGCCAATCACTGAAATTCAACAACAGCGGAACAGATGGGTAGAATACTTCGAGAAACTCCTGAATAGGCTGGCTCCAATGAATCCACCAGACATCGAAGCAGCACACACAGATCTTCCTATAGATGTCAATCCACCAACGACGGAAGAAATCAGAATGGCCATCAGACAAATCAAGAGCGGGAAAGCAGCAGGACCCGACAACATACCATCTGAAGCACTGAAGTCAGACACCGAAGTAACTACAAACATGCTTCACCTTCTATTAAAAAAGATTTGGGAGGAGGAACAAGTGCCGATGGACTGGAAAGAAGGACATCTCACCAAGATTCCAAAGAAAGGAGACCTGAGCAAATGTGAAAACTACAGAGGCATTACACTACTGTCAGTACCAGGAAAAGTCTTTAACAGAGTTTTGCTGAACCGGGTGAAAGACGCAATAGACGCCCAACTTCGAGATCAACAAGCTGGATTCCGTAAGGACTGGTCGTGCACAGACCAAATTGCGACACTACGGATCATCGTCGAACAATCAATTGAGTGGAACTCGTCACTGTACATCAACTTCATTGATTATGAAAAGTCACTTGACAGTGTGGATAGGAGAACGTTATGGAAACCTCTTCGACACTACGGAGTTTCTGAGATGATTGTCAATATTATCCAGAACTTATATGACGGACTACAGTGCAAGGTCGTGCATGGAGGACAGCTGACAGATGCATTCCAATTAAGGATCGGAATCAGACAAGGCTGTGTACTCTCTCCCTTCCTCTTTCTTCTGGTGGTCGACTGGATTATGAAGACCTCGACATCTAAGGGAAAAAACGGAATACAATGGACAGCTCAGAATCAATTAGACGATTTGGACTTTGCAGATGACCTGGCCATCCTATCGCATACACACGAACAGATGCAGACAAAGACAGCCAGTGTAGCAGCAGTCTCTGCATCAGTAGGCCTCAGCATACACAGAGGGAAAACCAAGGTCCTCAAATTCAAAGCGGAGAACAGCAATCCAATCACTCTTGATGGTGAAACTCTGGAAGATGTGGAATCCTTCACATACCTAGGAAGCATCATCGATGAACAAGGCATTTCAGATGCAGACGTAAAGGCGAGGATTGGCAAAGCAAGAACAGCATTCCTACAATTGTAGAACATATGGAACTCAAAACAACTTTCAACCAATATCAAAGTGAGAATCTTCAACACGAACGTCAAGACAGTTCTACTGTACAGAGCTGAAACTTGGCTAACTATCACAACCATCATCAAGAAGGTACAAGTATTATAAATAGTTGTCTACGCAAGATACTCAACATCCATTGGCCGGATACCATCAGCAACAGCATTTTGTGAGAGAGAACAAACCAGCTTCTAGCTTAGGAGGAAATTAGGAAAAGACGATGAAAATGGATAGGTCATACACTACGCAAATCGTCAAACTGCATCACGAGGCAAGCCCTAACTTGGAATCCTGAAGGAAGGCGGAAAAGAGGAAGGCCAAAGAACACATTACGTCGGGAAATAAAAGCAGATATGAAAAAGGTGAATAACAACTGGAAGGAGCTGGAAAGCATTGCCCAGGACAGGGTTGGATGGCGAATGCTAGTGAGCGGCCTATGTTCCTTCACGAGGAGTAACAGGCGTAAGTAAGTAAGTATAGCACTCTTTTAAGTAAGAGATTTTATGTTTCCATCAACCGGCAGCAGTTCCTTCGTTATTTCACATAATTCGCCGTCCATTGACGACATGCTTATTTGATATGTGTAATGTGACCTTGAGGCGATTTACTCATTCATCATTGGCTTACCCTTATAGTTTAATTTAGCCACTTCTTCCAATAACATACATCGTTTATAATCTCACAACCGACGTTTGACCTTAAGATGATATCTGAGCCTTGGCACGTGATATGTTTATACTTGAACAGCCAATCAATTATGTGATTTGTTTTAATAAGTACAGGTTTATATCCCCCGTTTTGAGTTGCATTGTGTGATGCTCCCCGGTTGCTGAAACAAATTTAGTGTATCAGGCTTCGAATCTACTTCCACTTTTTAAAAAACGGAGTGCATAAACCAATAAACTATTCTTGCAATATATAATAATGTATAACTAATGATTTTTAAGATTCTCTTCTATAATTAGTCAGCCATTTATTTTTGATGTATCGGATGTAAAATCAGAAGACTTTCAGGTTTGAATCAAAAGGAAACTAACAATGAACATATTAGCTAATCTCTGATAGTTGACTTCTTCTTCCTTTTAATTTATTAAGACGAACACAATCAATGCTTTTTCAAACCTCATATAAAATTCCTCCCCCTTCAGTGTTAATGGATTTCTATCAGTCGGTTTCAATCATATAACGTTAAATAGCGCACGCTAAATGTATATATACAAACCGAGACTAGTGACCATATCACAACTTGATCGATAGAGTTTGAACAGCATTGAGAATACAGTATCTTTAACTTTGAAAGTAACGATAATGGACTTAGATCCTATGGTCTATATGATCGTTTCAGTAAATCGCAAATCGACTGTAGGTGGAGCTGTTGATCACTGAATTAAAACTCACTGGTTGAATGGAATCATTTTATCAGTCAGCTTTATATATACTAAAGTCGATTCTGTCTGAGTTCATGTGTGTGCACATCTGAGACCCGAACTGTGAAGAAACATCTATCTAGAGTTTCTGGTTTCAGTCATTCTACAGCTGATGTTCATTCTTAGATATCTAATCTCTGAAAATCACTCAAAACCGACACTGATTTGAATTTACATCCACTTGACTAGTCCTAAAATGGGACGAAATGGATGTCATAGAATCTACTCTCAGCCACAGTGGAAATATCAGCTCAATGAAAATTAGCACCCATTTATCCATACATATGAGTATATATAAGGTTTAAGCATTTATTACAGTTTACTGAACTATGTCATTTAATATCATTATATAATACAAGGCAGATGCCGCTTACTCTTAAATACACAAATCAGTTTATAGTTGGTATACTACATTTTCAGCCAAAATGAAAATCATTGGAAAGGGGGGTTACTTTCTTCAGTAAATATAATAACTATCATGAACATAATGATAACCTATTATCCTACCTGTAAAAAATTTAATTCTTTCGAAGTAATTGGCGGTTGTAACGAAGTGAATTTCTCACCCAAATCTTTCTATGGAAATAAAAATCAACGGATTAGGAAATAGAATATGACCATTAATCTGAAAATATGATAGAATACAAGTATAAATTTACTATTACATCGTAATATAATGCGAACTTCCTATAGGAACTAATAAGGATTTGATTAAGTAAGAATACGGGAATGTAACTTCTAAATAACTCAGTTTATTTAACTCAAATACAGCTGGTTTGTAGTAGGTAAGAACATGCATAACAGAATACATTTCAATGTATACCTCATACATATATGTGTTAGTTCAACTATTTAACCAAGTATATTAATATCATACAAATATGTGACTAATACCAACTATCAGTTTTATTAGTTTTCATTACGCAACATTCGATTAAGGTTTTCAGTACGAAGTACAAACTAGTTAAGCAATCACTAGACAAATGTGACTAATATAACAAATCTATTCAAATATTTACAATGTATTACACTCCTACTTTAAAGATCAAATAAATTCTGTACATACTCAATCAGTAAAAAAACAGGAATAAATGTGAGAATTCATTCTCCTCCCCCCCCCTTAGGATCTCATCAACAATGGCAGAAAACTTGATTGGAAATTAATTTGAATGTACATTAGCTTAGTGTAACATTTATTTATTTTTTGTGGCCCAGTATCTGACTCCAGTTATTATCGCTTCTGATTGTTATTGAAATACGCATGTTGCTAATCTTCGTATACAATTATCGACTTAGATCGCGTTAGTGAATAGCGGAATTAAATAAGTCAAACACGAGAATGGAATCTGAATATATATATATATATTGTACAATCATTGATCCAGGCAGACGATCAAAGAAACGAAGCGAAGAAAATAGAGTGAAGTAAAAACGAAACGATGCGCGGTGGAGAAGACGTGTTAGCAAAATTAATTTAGCCAAGCGTCGAACAGATATAAGTTACAGACACATAATGAGTAGGGTAAGTTATTAGCACGTATACGATCATATAAAAAAAGTTAGAATTAGTAAGCGAATAAGTGACAGGGTAAAGATGTGGCTTGAGAAGAACCAATAGATTAGTCTTTCCAGAGGCTAGAATAACATAAATGAGTTCACACAGTACCAGCCCATATACACTGAAGTCAAGACAACTCCTGAAATTCTATTTAATATCTTTTCTATACAACGCTAATTTGCGTGTTCACATTCACTTACAACAGAAATCATTTCGGTAAGTATTTTTAATTTATTCTATAATTTTTAGTTTCAAATAAATATTATGAGTTGTATGCGGTTGATGAAGGCCTAGAAACAAAACAAAATGAATCTATTCATTTTATGTTGTTTGTTCGAATCTTTCGATTAATGCTTAGGATTGCAATTGATCCACAGGCACATCCAGCTGACGAGTCTCAAAAATGACGAAACGCGTGTCCTAGATTCCACTGCTAGCCACCATTCATCTTCTCTTAAAAATGGATTCATGTTATTCTGTTCAAACTATTGTTTACTTTCCCGTCCTTTTGAAAATTAATCAAAGAAACCATGTGACTATGACACTTACTCGATTTTCAGGAACAATTAATTTATAACCTTTAAAAAAACAATTTTTCTCAAAGATTTCTCTGTGACGTGGTACCAAATCACCTATATAAGCACAGAAATATATGAAGAAAGAAAAATGATTAAGTTCTTTGCACTTAACCTGCACATTAATTGATGATGAATAATGTACACCCATCTTAATACTAGTTAAATTCGAATAACGAACTAATTTTTCAAAACGGAAAGGCAATACAATGTGTCAGTTAGGAATCGGCCAAATGATAAGTGCATATGATCGGTCAAGAAATGGCTTTCTTCCCCGAAATACAGGATATAAAGTAATGATGGTTTAACTTCCTTAAAGAGGGTACATACCTATATAAATATATGAATGGGTGCATGTAAATGTGGTTCAGTTGAGCAAAACAAACTTTCTTCACACTCTGTCTTTTCTCTTAGATAGCCAGGTTCGTGTATAGAAAGGGTGTGTATCAGTATCGCTTCTCAGATATCACATGTCATAGCAATAAAGATGAGTATTCTGTGAAGACTAGTTCATTTTTAAATTAGATTAAATCATGAAGTGGGGTCATTTAGAAAATTGTTAAAAAATAGGATTCAGTGAACAGTTCGAGACAATTCAGCTATGTACACTTACAATTCAAAAATGAGATCCAACTCAAAACTTCAATTCTCACAGTAATTACAATACATTCAAATCATTATTTTTGAAATTCATTGAACAACATCTTCAAGTATAGTAAACTTTAACGATATCATATAACCAATGGTGAATATTACTAGTGAGTTTTGTCTTTTTCCACTGATTACATCTGCCTAATTATTTTCTTCCCTAACCTTAGGAGAAGGTAATATCAACCGCTTTTATATAGATCCAATAAACCAAAAGTGTACATAAAAATGACTCATAATTTTATCTACTGCTTACCCAATGTTTGTGTAATCAAGTGCAACTGATCTAAATCTGATCGACCAGGCCATAATGGTAGAGAAGTCAACATTTCAGCAACAACACATCCAATAGCCCATATATCTACTGGTGTACCATATTGTGTATCACCAACGAGTAATTCTGGTGCTCTATACCATCGTGTTGCCACATAATCAGTATATTCATCACCTGGTCCAGCTAATGAAGAGAACAGAAAGGAACTAGAAAGTGAATTTAGTGATTTTTAGATAATCCAATAAAAAAAGAAGGCTAACAGATCTATATGGTATATATTAGCGCAATTGCATTTCCAGACAAATCAGAAAGTAAGAGTAAACGAAGATAATGAAGAAAACAATATGAAGCTTACCATGTTGAACAATAAATTAATACAACTAGGGTAGGCTCAGGATGTGAACAAATGGTTTTTGAACACATAAAGGGAATTTGAATTTTTTGTGGAAAAGGCTTCAACAAACCCTAGTATACACGCCTAAACACTTTTCCAGTAATTGAAGGTTCGATTTGATATCTATACAATAACCTGTCACAACCAAATGTTTCACAATACAATATGTTTGTCTATTCAGTGTTCTTATTTGACTACTGGAATTCGTTTGTTCATTTAGTTACCTAGGTATGCGTTCAAACAACCCTACTTTGAGATCACAATTGCTCCTCCCTATCCATGTAAACTGATAGACGCAGTAGGATGTGACACAATCATCTACGTGGCATCTACATTTTTGATAAAACATAGACTTTGACTGCGTAAATGTCCTATTTATCACTAATTTAAGTCTTCATTTCAACATAAGGCTATTTGAGTTACCTCTAGATTGTAGAGTGATATTAAAACGTTTTTGGGTGCCAATAGTTTAGTAGGTATCATCATATTGCGACCTTTCCATTGGTTCATGAACTTCAATGAATAACCATTTTTCATAAGTGATTCAGTTAAGAGCTTTACTTTTCCCTCACTTGTATCGCTAGTGCACATACGATTGTCTCTTTATCAACCTAGGTTTGAACAGGACTGGCCAATGATTATGAAAACTGTTCATTTGGACTTTTTACATACCAAAAGTTTGATGAAACCATCATTTCTTCTACAAATTAATACATCTTAAAAAATAAGTTGGTTATTTATCTTTTCTTCACATGTAAGACAAACAAGTTTTTTAAAATTATGTTGAGTTCTTTAAACCAGCCGTTCATATTTTTATGTTTGTCACTTATGATTATAATATCATCCACGTACTACATATATAGGTATATCTTTTAAATTGAATCTTCAAGTAAACTTTCAACGTCTGCTATAAATACATCAGCTAACAGTGATTCTTAAAGGGCTATCTATTGTCACGTTACCATTGAATAATAATAAATTGTTCTTGATTCAGATCATCAATCTATTGATGTTAGACCACCGTTTAGAACCTGGAAGCACTGGATGGCCGTTTCGTCCTATTGTGGGACTCATCAGCAGTGCGCATCCACGATCCCACTCATGGGATTCGAACCCAGGGCCTTCAGTCTTGCGCACGAATGCTTAACTTACTGGACTACTGAGCCGGCATCCAATGATGATAGTGTCTAACATCAACCAATCCACGAAATTGTGCAACCATCTTCCATTGTACTGAGGTAGATACCTGTCTCTACCCGACATGGATTAGCTCCACTGGTCACGTCTCACTAGTGACTAGCTTCATGAGGAAATTCTCGGAGTTCTAGTGAGAAGCCGTGACCAATGGAGCTAATCCATGTCGGGTAGAGACAGGTATCTACCTCAGTACAATTGAAGATGGTTGCGTAATTTCTTGGATTGATTGAAGTTAGACATTAACACCATTGAATACCGGCCGTCTCAGTGGTCCAGTAGGTTAAGCGTTCGCGCGCAAGACTGAAGAACCTGGGTTCGAATCCCGCGAGTAGGATCGTGGATACGCGTTGCTGAGGCGTCCCACAATAGGACGAAACGGCCATCCAGTGCTTCCAGGTTTCCAACGGTGGTCTAACATCAATCGATTCATGATCTCAGTCAAAAACTTAATAATCTCCACAACCCCTTTACTGGTAATAAATTGTTAATCGTTTTGAAAAAAAATAATAGTAGAAAGTTATTTAATCAGATATAATTACGTACAATATCAATAATCTTTCTAAAAGGTACTTTTAACTTATTATTCAATATGATACGATTCATAATATTGTTTTCTTAACTACCATTGTTTTTCTGTTATCTTCCTATATATATATATATAACAAGTATATATGTGGTCAGATTGTGTTCTTTAATCTTCATCTCATTTACATTATCCCGATCAATAAAACAAAACTAATTGTTTTCCATTAGTGATAATTATTTATTTATCCAATTTAAAGTATATAGATTTTGAGTATTGTGTAAGGTACTGAGAAATATCTACCATTATAAATGACTTAATAAATTTGTAAGAAAAACTATAATAGAAAAGAGTAAACTATTTGATTAACCATTGAAAAGAAACTATATGTAATGAGTGATATAGTTCAGTTGAAGAAATAGTCAAGAAAGACTATTATTTATTTCACTGGTTGAAATCATAAGTCAATTGAAACTAGATCACCATGGAGAACCTGGAAGCACTAGACGGCCGTTTTATCATAGTATGGGACTCATCAACAGTGAGCATCCACGATCCCGCCCCTCGCGAGATTCGAACCCAGGACCTATCAGTCTCGCGCCAGGCGCTTATCCAACTAGACCACTGAGCCGGCATCCAACGGTGTTAATGTCTAACTTCAACCAATCCACGAAGTTGCGCCAATCGACTCATGATTTCAACCAGTGAAATTTCTGAAAATCTCCACAAAACCCATCCTGATATTATTTATTTAAGGAAGATCATCTCATTATTATGAAGAAAGTAAGAGATAACTATATCATGATCGTTATAGGTTACTATTCAAAGTTATATTTGATATGATCTCAAGCCAATGAACTGAACTATGTTTTAGGCTCGACTATCTACAATAAAAGATATTGTAAGGGGCTTTTTCCAAAAAATATTTTACGCTAAGTAGATAGGGGATTATAATCAGAGAGGAGTTTTATGGAGATTGTGGTGATTTAATAATTGAATTCATGGAAAACCTGGGAGTACTGGACGGCCGTTTTATCATAGTATGGGACTCCTCAGCAGTGCGCATCCACGATCCCGCCTCGCGAGATTTGAACCCAGGACTTATCAGTCTCGTGCGCGAACTCTTAATCTTTAGACCACTGAACAGGCATCCAACTGTGTTAATGTCTAACTTCAACCAAACAAGGAAATTGGTCTAAATGTTAAACGTTCGCGTGCTTCCAGGTTTTCCATGGTAGTCTAGCTTCAGTTAACTCATGAATTCAATTATTAGTTAGGGGATTATGATACAATTTACCAGACAAGTAGAAGCTTCAAGTCAAGTCATTTTCTAAGTTTCAATGGTAGAAAATATAAATTATTTAGGAAATATCTATGTTAAATGTGTTTGCCCGCAAAGGAGAATCGGATCTCGAACCTTTAGTTTTATATATGAACTTCTAGCTTTCAGACTACTAAGCCCGGATCCTATGGTATACTAGTTTAACTTCAATTAACTTACACTATTACGCGACTATCTCCCACTGTTTTCGACAACTCGCTTACACCCGACACGATTGAACTACACTGGTCGCTGATTGATTTTAGTTAGACTTATACACCACTGGATCAGGTCCTAGTGATCTAGTGGTTAAGTGTTCACACGTGAAATGAAAATTCCTGTGTCTAACTCCCGGTTGTGGGATCATAGATAAAAGCTATTCAGGCCGTCCAACGCTTCCAGATTTTAAACGGTTGTGTAACTTAAATCGGTCAGTAATTTCAGTGGAATTCAACAAGTCCCATAGCCTCATACTGATTACTATATTATTGTTATCAAAACAAATAATGTTAAGTTGGAGGAGTTAAACTCACTTAATAATCTTGCAAAACCAAAATCACACAACTTTAACTGACCAGATTTTGTAATAAGTATATTCTCTGGTTTAACATCACGGTGAATGCACTAAAATACAAATAATCATAAGTTAACAGATTAAATTATAGACAAATACATATTTAGAATACCTAATAACATCGACTATTTATTAAAATCGGTTAGTGTTTAGCATTGGAATATAGGATATGAGTTTCATCCCATCCAGGAATTGTCAACTGGATGAATCCGCATCTCGATGTTGATATCCATACTCGGACTCAAACCCATTGTCTTTTGGTTCGGACGCCAAGGGGTTATCCAATAAGCTACCATGTTCAGAAATTCACAGTCCCATCCAAATTACAAGTTCTAACAACAAAAAAATACAAATTCTTAAAACTAAAAATACACACTCGTTGCACAAGCTAGTGGTTCAGCAGCTCATTGGACAATACCTTGACACTTGAAGCTAAAGGCGCTGGGTTAGAGTCCCGGACTGAACATCAGTATTTCGATGCTGGTGCATCTAACTGACAAGTCTCTAGTAGGACAAAGCGAAAGTCCTGGATTTCACTTCTAATAACTATCCAACAGTAATAAATTCTGTTGACAAATGAGTATGTCGTTGTAATCTGCTCAGGATTTACACTTTCTTTCAAAGACTTATCAATTGCAGTTCATAAAATTAACAACTTGATAATATAAATTCTTACAAATGAATGACAACAATTATTTAAAATAAACAGTTTGGCGCAAACTGAATAGTAGTGTAAGGTAATTTTAAACATATACCGACGTCAGTTAGGCAGTTACTCCTAGGTTGAAAATCATAGTTAGCCTAAAATTATGATGATACAGGGAAGCGAAGCTTAAAAGTCTCTGGTATCATCACTAATTCAGTCAGTTCGTAATGTGGTACACAGTTCTCGTTTAATAACATCTATGTATATCCATTTTATTTCCAACTTGGTTTCCTCCATAAATCTAATTCCTATTTTGATATAAGTTTTACAAAGACAATAGATGTAACTACACTATACTACTGAATTTCAGAAATTTTTTTAAAACGACATTGAAACGTTTTATACCTATTGTTAGCCAATAAAAAACATTGACATCTTTGACTTGACAGAAATCACTCGTTCAAAGTAAATAAATAAATAGCCGAATAGGATTGACACAATTTTAAATGGTTTAGGGGAATAAGGCCTTATTCCGAGTAAGAAAACTAACCCTTTTAGATATTTCTGTACAAATATGGTATTATTTCTACCCTAGACTTACACAGTACAAATTTTCCTGTCAATTCAATGTGAATAAATTATCTAATAAATGCATTTTTTATAAAGATACTCGTTAAACGATTGTGAATTGATATTGCTTTTTGAATATCACCTTGAAGCGCTAAAAGTTGCTAATTTGAAATTGATTAGTTTGGAAGTATATAACAGATTGATTATAAAACCTATTACTAATCTATTAACTAATTGGAAATTAGATTGTTTCGTTCTAGTTTATGTTAAAGAAATACCCATTCACCCACTTACTCATTAACCTACAGAAATAGAACACTTAACACTGGGTTCTGAAGATAAGAACAATACAACTTGAAAAGTAGGTTGGAACTGTAACATTCATTCAGTGTTATCGTAGTGATTAAATGTTTCACTCTCAATACAATTAATCTTACCAATTCATTTAAGCGAATAATTCAGTTCAATCATTACATTTAATTTAATTTATAAACCCTCTCGGATTAATATATATTTTTCTTGACACTATTCATCTTACTAAAGGATAAATAAAGATCTAATGTCGATGAATGTCATTAGTTCAAAGAACTTGACCAATTCAGCTCAGTAACTTAACAAAAAAAAGATACTACGAAATGACATAAATAGCTCTTTGACATATATGATAAATCCGATGATGACTAGTAGTGGAATCCAGGACGAGCATTTCATCCTATTTACTTATGACTTAAGACAATATCAAGATAATCCGTACAAGATGCACATACACTAATAAGAGACTGATCAAGTACAATCCTAAACATCAATAGGGTAGATACAAACAAATAATACAAAGTGAATTTATATGATAAATACATTGAATAAAATTTTCCTACATTATGCGCATGACAGAAATTCACTGCTTGTAACAATTGATATGTTAATTTTCTTATTTGTAATCTATCCAACCTGAAAAAATAAACCCCGCGAAAATAAACATTAAACCACAATAACAAAAAAAGGAACCAATTCTTTAACAAAATACAACCAATCTAATTTCTTAATATTGATTTAATCACCGACATAATTGTACTCTACTACTGTGATGTAACGGGCAGAAGAGGTAAGTAAAAAACATTTGCCACCTTGTGACCTTCATTCTATCTTGGTTAAATGTCTCGGAAATGAATAACATTGTTTAATTTCATTAATAATGTATTCAACTAGTAAACTACTAATTCAATCTGTTCAGTTTCACATCCTAGTGATCAGTTCCATGAGAAAATTAACATATTATCTTCCTTTGTCATTTCTATACTTATCAAATCCATTTTTCTGTCATAACTAGTAAGCTGGTAGAAGACCAAGATTCGTTCCAGTTGAATGAGTGGTATCTATCCATAAAGTTACTTATTGTCACTAGTACTATTCTAAAACTGGATAATTATCGTATCTTATCGTGAACTGAGTGAAATTAATAATATACATCGTTGGCTTGCAGCCAAGTTCAATAACTAATGTCAACCTAACGGTACATAACTTAGTATAACTTTAATTTCATAAAACCCTTGTTAAGCAAATAATATGTAGTGTATAATACGACATCAATAGCTAAAAATATTTTCTTGTAACTTTCAAATCCCATCTGCGTAAATACGCTATGGTGTCTCAGGAGTTTAAAGCACAAGTTGATGTGACTACCTAAACACAAAAAACAGATTGGCTGTACTTATCAGTTCCTGTATGGATGAGAATATTAATTAGTGAATAGATTATTAGTGCATGTTTGACGAGTGCATTTGTTTGCTATATGAAATGGTGCTGACTGATACAATGATAAATTGTGGCTGATGAGTGTTATAAGTTATGTGGTATAAGTAGGGATACCGTAGATAGTTTGAATTTTTTTATGAACCAACTGAGTGTTGATTGTTGAGCCAGTCACATGGCTACAAGCAACGTAGAATCTAAAATATACATCTGTACTATTTAGTTGTGGATTATGAGTGTATTGTTGGTGTTGCCTACCTGATGAGAAGGCCTACAAATCATAAGTATAATTTTGTTTTTATGAACGGGCTTTTGTGTTCAGGTATGTGTATATCTAATGTGTTTATTAAGTGAAAAAATGGATTTTGATAAGTTTATTTGCTAAGGTGTTACACTGGAAATTTGATGAATTTTACAACCGATCAAAATCTGGGCAAAAATTTGAATCTTTCCGTGATTAGGTGGAGTAAAAAAGTCATTTTCTTATTCTTAATTAAACTTCCGACAAAAAGTCCTAAGATTCTATGGATAAATAGTTTGGTATTAAAATTATTATAACCCGCTCAGTGGTCTACAAGTGAAGCGTTCGCTAACGAGACCGACAGGTCCTGGGTAACAATTCTGCGAGGGGTATCCAAACCGAAACAAGCTGAACATATTATCGAACCAGGAGGATTTGGAGGTCTTTATGAGCTTCTCACTATTCAATTAATGTATCCGTGTAGGATTCTCTACATTTTATTGACGATGTTTATAGCCTAGTTTACTTCTTATTTTTAAAAATAAAGTTGGATAACTCCGTTCGCATTAATTTATTGAGGTGATTTTCTCTATTGTAACGTAAAAGAGTTTATTTAATCCATTGGATAAACTGTTACGTTCTGTGAATGACCAATTCAGATACAAACACATCCTATATACTTTCTCAACTACCAAAGCAGAGTGAAAAGAACGCGATTTAGTTAGGAAGCTTTAATTCCCGAATCGAACAATTGGATACACAAATTGTCTGTATACACATATTTATTCTTCTGATCCAAACAAGAAAATATAGGCTGAGATTCGAACTAAGGGTATACTTGGCTTTCTTCAATAGTGAGTCTCATTTACGACTTATCACCTACAATTTGACTTTGGGATAGTATATGATTACAGACCTAGGCCCGACATTCCTATCATAAATACAAAAAACATTATTTACAACCAGAATCATTTTATTCGATCCTGTATATCTGGTTTCAGCATAAAATTGTCAGGACAAAATATAAAACACTTCCATGTATGCTTCTTTAACTCAAGCTCAGAAATGAAACTAAAAGATGCCAGCTTTTCACAATGATTGTATGTCGTTTTATTTGTAAAGATTTGTGAAGGTTATCCACTAGTTTCATCTCTACCATTCTTCTCATCGCAAAGAATAATTATAGTAAGAAAAAATGTCAGGGCGAAAATGCTTTTAGCGAATGAATCCATCCCATACAAATGCAGATAAAGACAACCAGTGTGGCAGCAGCCTATACAGCAGTAGGCTTCAAAAACAGTTTTGTTAAACTGGATGAAAGATTCAACGAACACTCAGCTTCGAGATCAACAGACTGGATTAAGTAAGGATCGCTAGTGAACAGAACACATCGAAACACTACGGATCAGCGTTAAACAATCGGTTGAATGAAACCTATCACTATAAATCAACTTCCTTAACTATGGAAAGGCATTTGACAGCGTGGATAAAGGAGCCTTATGGAGCACTCTCCAATACTATGGTGTACCTGAGGAAATCGTTAAAATCTTACGAAATTCACACAACGGACCACACTACAAAGTGCTGCATGGACGACAGCTGAAAGAAACATTCTAAGTGAGAACCACAGTCAGAAAAGTTCACTTAATATCTCCCTTTCTCTTTCTACTGTTAGATGACTGAATTATGAAGACCTCTACATCTGACGAGAAGCACGGAATACAATTAACAGCTCAGAGTTAACTAGACGATTTCGACCTCACAGATGATCTAGCCCTACTATCCCATACATACCAACAAATGCAGATGAAGACAACCAGTGTAGCAGCAGCCTCTGCATCAATGAATCTCAACATAAACAATAGAAAAGCCAAAATCATCAAATACAACATGGAGAACACCAACTCAACCATATTTGATATAGAAACTGTGGAGTAGGTGGAAAATTTCACATACCTGCACAGCACCATCGATGAAGAAGGAGGATGTGATGCAAACGTAAATCCAGGGATTAGTAAATCAAGTACAGCATTCCTACAGTTGAACAACATTTGCAACTCAAAACAACTCTCAACAAATATCAAAGTCGGAATCTTCAATACGAACGTCGAAACAGTTCTACTCTACGGAGCTGGAAATTGGAGAACTACTGCAATCATCATCAAGAAGTTACAGGTATTTCTAAACGCAAGCTGCTGAATGTCCGTTGACCGGATACAATCAACAACAACAACCTAGTATGGGAGAGAACAAACCAGCTTCGAGTTGATGGGTAGATAAATTAGGAAAAGACGTTGTGAGTGGATAGGACATACATTGTGGTAGTCATCAAACCACATGATGAGGCAAGCGCTAATTTGGAATCGTTCAGGGGAACAGAAAAGAAGAAGACCGAATGGCAACTGCGTCAAGAATTGGAAGCGGATATTGAAAGGATGAATAGCAACTGAAAAGGTTTGACCAGGACTGGTGGGTGGTCCATGCTCCTCCACGAGGGTTGACTGGTGTAAGGATGTAAGAATGAATCTGAATACAATGTGTCTCGTTTTGTCAGAGGATAGATAAGGAGACAAATAAGCCAATTGCTGCAACGTATTGTTTGTACAGGATTTTCATTTCCAGATTTCGCTATTAAGATCTACAACCAGTCAATCTCTTTTGGTACATGAGGACCTTAAATGAACTGCCTCGATTATATTATTCAATTAGATGGTTTTAGTAAAGCCAAATTGCAACTGTCAGAGGAATTCGAAATTCCCATTTCGTCCCATATAGAACTCATCATCTAGATATTTCTGTATCATAGGTTTTACTACAACACACCACTGAAATATTAGCTGAAAACCTCTTTATTGAAAGTTAATATCGATTTATCATGTTCAGGATGTATATTATCTCAATAAGGATTGGTTATTTGTATTTTCTAATATCTATGATGGGAAAAATAGCCCCCCCCTCCACAAACAGTTTATTACAATTATTGTATTCTATTTTTGAGCCTTAATTTAAATAAACATGGAGTTATTATATTGTTACTTTTGTTTAAAAATGACTTAAAAATTAAGCAAAGTTATATTTTTTTAAAAAAGGGAACTACAATTGTACAACCAGCGTCGATACTAAAAGTCAAGATAAAATAATCTAAATAATTCAATTATATAAATATAATAATGGAAATTATTGTAAATATGAAAACAAGATCATTTAATAAAGAAGAAAAACAGAACTCAAGTTTCTATTAGTTACCATAGTATCAGGGATTGTTTATATTTGACATGAAAACCAAACACACGTACAAAAATAACAACAACAACAACAATAACACAATGAATATAAAACTTATTGAATTACTCTGACTATTCTTAACTCAATAAATATAATTTAAGAAAATAGTAATGAAAAGAACTAGATAAAGAACCAAAAAAGAGGGGAGTAAAAGGAAAACGGTAACTAAGGAAAATGTTAGGGGCATTACATTAGTAGGATACAAATCATCTGTAAATGGTTATTATCTTATTTTAAAGATCATTTTATAAAGATACACTAATATAAATTGACTACATCAAATTACATTTAAAATATTTGAGCAATGGCTTTATCTAAACATCATACTCATTAGCAGTGTTATAGAGAAATAAACATATATGATTGTTACAATTTTTTTATATTTGGAGAGATAATGTTGTTCAGTTAGTAAGGAAAAATTGTACAATGTTCAACAAATGATGAAGATAACATGAATGAATATGCGCATGTGTACGTAAGACAGAGAAAGCAAAAGTGTATAAATAGAATACACAATTTAGTACTTTTAAGATAGAAAAAGAAACAAACAAAAACGTGAAAACGGAGTTCTGAAAATTAAAACAATAACTTTTAGAACCTAGTTTATTCCTAAAGATTGTTTGAAGCTTTCTTTGCTGATATTGAGGACTGTAATTGATAGGCATGCTTCTGATATCTATGCATCTTCAGTAGATTGGCTCAATATTACCATTAAGTCACAAACATTTTAAGCAGAGATGCATAGCATTTAGCGCTGTTATTCAGGATATGGATTTGATCGTATTTTTGGATTTTTTATTTATTTGAATGTACCTAGATTCTGGATTCCACTAGTATCAACTATCCAACTATGCTTAAAATACTTGTGAGTTAATGGAGAAATTAAAACAATTCACCCAGAATCCACAAGTGCCTTAAGAGCCTAATCAATTACAGTCTTTAGTATCAACAACTGGAAGATTCAAATAATTCTTACAAATGAATTAAAATTCATCCTTGTCGTACGAGCCATTAACTCTCTGAACGTCGTAACTAAATGGATAATGCATTAGTTTTTCGAAGTGAAAGCCACTGGGTTTGAGTCTCAGAGCGAACAATAATACTAGAATCAAGGTGCATCTAGCTGATAAGTCCCAGATAGGATGAAACGTGCTTACGGGATTCCACTGTTAGCTATTACTCAACTCCTTTCAAAATAATTGTTAAATTAATTGGTAGATATTTCTATTTATCAAGAAAGTTAAATTCGATTAAAATTTTAAAAAACTAAGAATCAGACAATTTATGACAAGAGATGAATTCATTCATGGCATGTCACTGTTTTCCCAGTTCAAGAGCTTAGTGCCCCCAAATGCCCTGGTACGGCCGAGAGTGGAGAGAGTCCGTTCTGCCTCTCGAAATGCCCTCACATGGCCACGCGTATATAGCCTCTGCCAGGGAAGTCCTACTCACCGACTTCTTGTGGCGCGGGTGTTGTTTACGAAATTGAAAGGATGAAAAGCGAATGTTCGGCGCATTAACGTGGTTGGTGGACATGGAGAGTCCACCCTAGGGGAGTTGGAAAACTCTGATTCCGAACCAACATGGGCTTCAGTATCCCGAAGTATCAAATGGTGTGTGAACCAATTATTGGTCACTGTCTACCATGGGACTGCATATCCTTACGTTGCTTCACTGCCTTGTGGATCAGACCTTTGGGTCAAAGGTCCAGGGTGTGGCCTCCTGCTTCGGTTTGGGCACTTGGGCAGTATCATAGCCCTCACACATATCAAATGAGTTTTGTGTGGCGCATATGTACCCGGTTCCCCCTTATACCAATATCTATGTGTTCAAATAAATAAAGAGCTTAGTTATTGATATGGTTTGAAATTCGAAAGAAAATGAATTATCCATCAACTGACAATAAGTTATTTAAATTATAAATGTAACTAAAACTTCAAGTTTAAAAAAGGTTTTCTTAGAAAATATTCGGAGTCATAGTTTCAGAATAGTTAAGATAACTTTTTTAAATTACAGAATCTAACAAAAACCGAAGAGGTTTACGTAGAAAACAATATGAAGATTGAACTTAATGAGTTGTCATAACAGTCAAATAAAGGACTAAACATGAAAAAAGAGGAGTTGAAATACTTCACTTACCAAGGTAGAGAAAAGTTAACCACTGACCTTTTGAAATACAAAGATCGAGTTCAAATATAATTTCCATGACTTCAGAGAATATCTATAAAAGATAGTTAAAGTGTCCATTGACCACTTTAGATACATTCATTGTCTCCACTTTGTCCCTGTTATCTAGCACTTGATGTTCTATCCAGCTATATGGACTATTTTGTCCGCGGAGGCATTGTTTCTTTGGAATGTTCCCAATAAAACGTGTATAAGTTTGTCTTCCCATCCCCATAACGCACATATTTTTCAATGTTTATTTAAGTCCATACAAACAGTTGAAAGTGATATGAGAGAGATGTTTGCCTATCTTTGTGTTAGTGAACATTACATTATGTACAGTAGAAATAGGTTAACGGTTGGAAATAAAACTTTTATATTTTCACTTGATTGGTCTTATTCTTCGATTAATGATCTTTGTACATCATTCTCATAAGAACTTGTACTTTTTTCTGGTTTGTGAACTATTATCCTACGAAATAAATATAATGAATTCATGGGATTCTGTAATTTATATTGATGGAGAATTCTGGTGGGTGGCCTATCCTCCTCCATGAGGGGTAACAGGCATATGTAAGTAAGTGATTTGCTAAAGCTTTGAGAAGAAAACCAAATGCATGGAATATATTTTTTTTATTGAGAAATAATATTCATGTTATCATTGCACAATTAAGTAGGATTTATGTAGACTTTCTGTAAACTGATGATAATTTCCATTATAAATTGACATCAGAGTTTAAAAGCCACTAAAAATTGTTTAATCGAATTTTTCGTTTTAAAGACTCCTTATAGCAGTACTTGCCAATGATCATTTCTACGGGATCAAATCAACTTAATCGATTTTGTAGTATAATCAATCACTGATTTAGTCAAACGCAATGTAGAACATGTCACATGTGTACATCGGTATAAGTTCCCAAATCCAGTTAGCATAGTTAGATAAAATTGTCTAGACGAATTTTATGGCAATAGAGATAGTAACAGTATTAGTAGTAATAGAAAAGATTAGGGATAGGAGATACAATTCTAGAAGAAAATAAAAATGAGAGAAATAATTAGAAACATTTATCAGGAATTCAGGAACTTTGGATCTGAGCTAACGATTTTGAGCCATATCGTTCAAATTCTCTAACCATTGGTTGCAGTTATCACGTGGAAGTGATACATTATCAAAGGATTCAAAAACATTTGTAAAGATAAGATGAGTTTAGATTCAAAGAAATATGTCATCAGAGAAAAGTTTGAACTCGATATGCAATGAGACAATTAAATCATTTGAATTCAAAGGAAATTCATCGGACAAATACGAAATTACTCTGCTTAACTGGTAGATTAACAAACATTTAATACAAAATTAAGGTATACAGAAAAGTATTTTATGTATTACAATAGTCAAGTCTTTTCAGTTAAAGTAAATCAACAATAGAAATCTATTAAAATAACATAATCTTTATTTATATGAGGAAAGTTTTGTTTCTTCGGTAAAAATGAATAGTTTTCATTGGTCCAGCAATTATTGAATCAGACTATGATAAAATAAACTAACTTCGTGTTGATCAGTTACCACATATCTCATGTTTTGTTTTAATAATCGTCCATTCAATAGTGACAAACTTTAAGATAGGTTTGTGAAGTTCATTTATGAAGCCAAGATAAATGGAGTTTAACCCATGTCGATAATGAGATAAATGTCCCTAGTGATAATAACTGAGCTTCAGGCAAACTTGTGTAATTCTATCGAAGTTGGAAATGTTATTTACTGAATTTAAACTTACTGACTTAAATATATAATATGTATGTCACGGAAGCTAAAAGCTTTATATCCAACTCCTCGTAGTAAAGTTAGTCAGCCACATTGAGAAATATCTGTCCAGTATTCTATAGTTTTCAATGATTCTCTAGTCGATAACATTTATTGATGAAAGCTAACTTTTAACATTTACATGATATAAAACATTAGTTTTCAATGCATAACTCTTTAAATAATCGACCATGAAATATCTCGTAGACTAACAAAGAAGTAGAAGGCAGATTTTATTTACAAATAAATTAACCAATGAGAATTAAGAGTTGCTGAATATTTGCTTTACCCTAGTATAGAATACCTCAACATTACTTATCAGTGATCCTATTAAGAGATTGAACTAAGGATCATTATATCTCACAGTGAATACTATATATGTAAACCTCAATGTTGGGACAGATAAGTCTATATTATCGATTTTAATCATTCCGGGATATCGTATGATCAGTAACGATTTCCATCGATAATCATTGTATCTTTATTAAAACGACGAAGCTTATCTAATCAATATAAATGGAATGAATAAATTTTCTTCATTATTGGGTGACGGGAAGTTGTTTAACGCTAACAAAGTACAATGTTTTGTGAAAATAAAACTAATGAATCACAATATAAAGTGGTATCAATTGGAACACAACTTAGAAATAATGTTCATTAACACGTTTTTCGAGATATATATTTGTTGAATATTTCTTGGTAGCCACCGTATACTTAACTTTAAACGAAAGTTTGTATTACAGAATTATATAGATGAAAGCGTACTTGAACATGTCCTATACATTTTTTCTTCCTTCAATGATTTGATCAAATGATTTCTTTAATAATTAAACTTAATTCAAATTTCCCAGTATTACAATAACAGAGTAAGTATCAAATGAAACAATTCACATTTTATTTATTTATATATTAGATAGAAACTATACTTAATAATGAATTGTTGAAGATGAATTATATAACCTCACATCATATTCAGGACTCTTAAACAATGTTGACTCGTGAATGTTTTATGTATGAAACTCAGAACTTTCAATTCTCTTGGTTAACATTTTACTATTGGAACCATTGAATCTAGTCATGGGCAGATTCATAGATGTATACTGTTGAAGAGTCGAAACAGCTGTTCAGTGCCTGCTGGTTTTCAATGGTACCCTTAACTGAGAAAAATCCATAACGAATATCACTTATAGAATAAAATACCACATACAAAACCCATTCATCATTACACAGTGTACCAAAGTTATTAAAGATTTATTACCCTTTAGTATGTTTCTCCAATTCATGCAATAATGTATGATCAACATACTGAAACACCAAATGCAATCGGCGTTTACGTTTGAAAACTTCAATTAAATTGATCAGATTTGGATGTTTTAATTGCTGTGTGAAAAAGAAATACGATATGAAAAAGAATCTATTGATAACTAACAAGTATAATATTCAATTTTGTAAAATATTAATAGATAAGTTTAAAAATCCCTTCTTGCAATCGCGAACCAATCGTAGACAACCATTCAAAACTTGAAAGTACTGGATGACCTTTTTTGCTAGTATGGGACTCCTCAGTAGTATGCACGACACTACAACAAAGGATAGAATCTAGGACTCTCAATGGCGCATTCGAACGCCAAACCTCTAGGTCACTGAGCCAGAGTTCAATGGTGTACCCACTTGTGACTAGTTTTGGGAGGAACTTTCTGAGTTGTAGTGGGAAACCGTGACCAGTGTAGTTCAACTGTGTCGGTTGTAAGGATGGTGCTTACCGATCACGATAGAGAATGGTAGTGAAATCTCCTGGGTTCATCTAAGTTAGACTTGCTCATTATCGGGTCCTGGTTTCGTGATTAAGAAGTTAAGTGTTCTCTCGTGAAACTAAAAGTCCCGGGTTCGATTCCTGGTGGTGAGGTCGAGGATGAACACTCCTGAGGAGATTCGCACTAGAACGAAACCTGTGTCCAGCATTTTCAGGTTTCCAATGGTTGTCTAGCATAGATCGGTTTGTGATTTAAATAAAACTCAACAATTTCCACATACCCATAGTGATAGTAAATTTTCTATTGTATTTTCATGGTACGTCTATGCCTATTATAATATCTCGGATTAGTACCAGGTGATCCTGTGTTCAGCCATGGATGGACCATGGGTCTATAGCGCTGTAAAGTTTTAAACCAGGACAAAGGAATGTTTAAAAATCTTCGGTTTTTAAAGGTTTAGCAGCTGATATCAGTCCATGATGAAAGCTGCTACCCATAGTCTATCTATTTTATACAACTTGTGATACTAAAACTATATCACAACAATCCACATAAGATACATACATCACAATTGAAGAGTCAAAATCCGTTTAGGAATATTAGCAACGGGATAAGTCAAACAAATTTAATCTTCAAATCACTTGCACAAGATACATAGTTATGAGTTTTTCCTATGACCATATATTTCAACTTACAATTAATTACAAATAGATATGTAAGTATCAATTTCTTGATCCGGCCTTTAATTTCTATGTATATGCGTTAGAAATAATGCCTGAATAACCAAATGGAGTTAGATCGATTGGATTGAACGAATCTGTTTCAATCAATGAGTAGACATTTACAAAGTCATCTATTAGATTCCAAACTGAAACTCTTATCGCTTTCCGTACAAAAGAAAATTTAGTTAGCTTGAATTTATAACCTACTAGATAAATGTCTATTTCATCGACCTATTAGATTAGTGTCTACCAAATAAGTGGATAATTTTTTCTTAGAAAAAGAAAGAACACAAGTGCACAGATCAAACAAGAAGACTAAATTATGTATATAAATTTTTAGGAAAGACAGTTCAGTCTTTTATTAAAATTCATTTCATCAGAGTCAGTTAGTAAGTTATAAATTACCTAGAGCCTAACATATATGTGAATCAGTCCAACTTGTCATGTCAGTTCAGATCAGCGAGATGAAATTATCATGATAAATTTCAGAGTAGTAGAATAAGTAACAGCATTAGTAATAGCAAAAAGGATTAAGTATTAATATTATGATTTAGGAAAACAGAGAAAATTTCCGTAATAAAATGTATAAGATAAGAATAGAAAAGATTACATCATAAAGTGAGTCGAGACTCCAAATATCAAATGAGGTTACATAATAATCAGGGGGTTAAGAAGAAAATAATTTACGGGTCAGAATTATGGAAAATAATCTGTCCTCTCGACAGATACAAAGAAAAATGAAAAACATAAAGGTCATAATAATAACTGAATAATAATCGTGAAAAGTTGTTAAAACAATGATAATAACTGATTATGGGTTATAATTACAAAACATTAATCTAAAAAACAAGACCAAAACATACTTAAGAAAGGAATCAGGGTCAATGATGGATGAAAGGTTGAACATGTCCTTTTCGCACGCAGAGTTCGGGCTTGAATTGGTGGGTTTCCAATGCCTCAGCATGACTTAGTTCAACAGTTAGTGACTTCATAGACTGATGCCACATATTGATCTGTCAATCTCTACCTTTCTTTCAATCTAATCATACACCAGGTAACATCGTGAGTCGAGGTAGAAAGTAGTTAAACACGAGAAGTACATATCCTAACAACTTCAGCAAATGAAGAATCTCTAATTTATCAGCTGATTTATTAGTTTTTATCCAGTACTCTGAGTCTTACTTCAGCACAGCTCAATCAGTCCCAACATTCATTAACAATGCTTTAAAGTCATTCATGATCAAACATCCCTAACCTACAAATATCTTCTATTGTTGAAGGTCACTTCCCATAGACATAAAATAGAACAGCACAAATAAAAGTGATTTGTTAACCTTGATAGTCATGTCCTAGTGTCATTGTCATTATTTAATGAAGACCTGAAACATGGAAATTTTACAACCATTTGACGTTTAAATGAATTTTAACCATGTTTACTGTTGTGTTAAACATTTGATATATCAGTGTGTAATTGCTCCGCTATAAAATGAATCCGATTATTGATCGGTCGTTCTGTCTCAGAATACTCATTTATTGAGAACTGCTTCAAGTCAATAAGTTGGTTTACATGTGTAGTTTTCACTCAACCACGCCAAATCACATTATAGTTTACATTACGAATTGATTTCAACTAAACAACAATTATTGTTTAAATAAAGTCAGTCAGTGATGTAAACTACAAACCCGCTAAAGTAATAAATTACATCAATTTAAGTAATCGATCCCACAGTTCACAATCATACAATATTCTCCTCCAATGTAAATGAGAAATTTCGTAACTTACTTTCAATGTACGAATTTCTCGCATTGCGATTCTATGTATTACTGGATCTTCTTCAGAGTCGGTAAATTTTTTAATAGCAACTATATCTCCAGTATCACGATGACGACATTTAAACACAACACCATATGCACCTTCTCCTATTCTTGTTAATTTTTCATAACGATCCATTTCAATAGTCAAATTCTAAATGTTAATTATTCAAAGTTGATTTAATGTAAATATAAATGTTTCTTGACATGAATAATAATTAAAACCATATTAAACTAATAGTTGAATTCATGAGTCAATTAAAGCTAAACCACTATAGAAAACCTGGCAGCAGTGAATGGCCGTTTCGTCCTGGTATGGGACTCTTCAGCAGTGCGCGTCTACGATCCCGCCCCACGAGATTCGAACCCAGGACCTATCGTGAAAAGACGAAACAGCCGTCCAGTGCTTCCAGGTTTTCAATGGTGGTTTAGCTTCAACTGACTTATGAATTCAACTATTAAATAACTAAAATCTCCACAAAACCCCTTCTGGTAAAAATCATATTAGCCAAAAAACTTCAATGATTGAATGATTCCTCAAAGAAGAGACATTTTACTATGATTCAGTTCGTGCCTGTTTTGTGTAATAATCAAAACCAAAATTGTATCACAAATATAAATGATTAAAATTGGTCGGTTCTTTTAATAAACTTAAATAACACGATAAGAAGATAGATTTCGTAAGAATCATATAATGCGTATAAGCACAACATTCGTTGACTTGTAAAGATATTTTTTACACAACAAATAAATGTTGAACTAGAAAAAATAGAGCATAAAGTCACAAAACAATTTTAAATAAACAGTATGAGATTGTGGGGATTGTTGAATTTCATTGAAATAATGAACTGATCTAGGTTAGACCACTATTGGAAACTTAGTAACAATGAACGGCCATTTCACCCTAGTATGAAACTCCTTAGCAGTGCTTGTCCACGATCGAACCGAGGATTTTCATTCAAACGAGCGAAATCATGAGCTCTGGGTCACAACTTTGTGAACTGATTGGGGTTAGACACTAACACCTTTGTATGCCGGCTTAGTGGTCTAGAAGTTAAGTATTACCGTGTAAGACAGAAGATTCTTGGTTCGATTCCAATTTTTGGGATTGTGGATGAGCACTACTGAGGAATTCCATACTAGGGCCAAACGGTCATCTAGTGCCACCGGATTTTCAATTATGGTCTAATCTAGGTTGACTCGTGATTTCAATGTACTTCATGTCTCATTGTATTCACCAGTAAAAAATCTTATGTATACACGTGTTTGAACACATATAAAACGTAACATACTAATCAAACTCTGCTAATAGGTGCTGTTTGCTCTATGTAGCATTATTATAAAGTGTTGTTTCGGAGTATTTCACTTTATTAATCATCACCTACTTACTTACACCTGTCAGCCCTCGTGGAGAAGCATAGGCCGTCCACTAGCATTATGCATCCAACCATGTCCTGGGTAATCCTTTCCGGTTCTTTCAAGTTGCTACTCATCCTTTCAATATCCGCTTCCAATTCTTGACGCAGTTGCCATTCGGTCTTCTTCTTTTCTGTTCCCCTGAACGATTCCAAATTAGCGCTTGCCTCATCATGTGGTTTGATGACTACCACAATGTATGTCCTATCCACTCACAACGTCTTTTCCTAATTTATCTACCCATCAACTCGAAGCTGGTTTGTTCTCTCCCATACTAGGTTGTTGTTGTTGATTGTATCCGGTCAACGGACATTCAGCAGCTTGCGTTTAGAAATACCTGTAACTTCTTGATGATGATTGCAGTAGTTCTCCAATTTCCAGCTCCGTAGAGTAGAACTGTTTCGACGTTCGTATTGAAGATTCCGACTTTGATATTTGTTGAGAGTTGTTTTGAGTTGCAAATGTTGTTCAACTGTAGGAATGCTGTACTTGATTTACTAATCCCTGGATTTACGTTTGCATCACATCCTCCTTCTTCATCGATGGTGCTGTGCAGGTATGTGAAATTTTCCACCTACTCCACAGTTTCTATATCAAATATGGTTGAGTTGGTGTTCTCCATATTGTATTTGATGATTTTGGCTTTTCTATTGTTTATGTTGAGATTCATTGATGCAGAGGCTGCTGCTACACTGGTTATCTTCATCTGCATTTGTTGTTATGTATGGGGTAGGAGGCTTAGATCATCTTCGAAGTTCGAATCGTCTAGTTAATTCTGGGCCGTTCATTGTATTCCGTGCTTCTCGTCAGATCTACATCTACGTCTTCATAATCCAGTCAACTAACAGTAGAAAGAGAAAGGGAGATATTAAGTGAACTTTTCTGACTGTGGTTCTCACTTAGAATGTATCTGTCAGCTGTCCTCCATGCAGCACTTTGTAGTGTGTTCCGTTGTGTGAATTGCGTATGATTTTGATTGTTTGACAACGACCCATAGTATAACAATTCAATCTGTTCACGATCGATACTTACGGAATCCAGACTTCTGATCTCAAAGTTGGGCATCCATTGAATCTTTCGTCTGGTTCAATAACACTCTTTTTAAAACCTTTTTTAGTACCGATAGTAGTGTTATTCCTCTGTAGTTCTCACATTTTCTCAGATCTCATTTCCTCGGCATCTTGATGAGCTGTCGTTCTTTTTAGTCCGTCGTCACTTGTTCTTCATCCCGAATCTTCCTGGATAGAGTGTGGAACATCTCTGCAGTTACTTCTATGTCTGACTTTAATGCGTCAGCTGGTATATTGTCAGGCCTTACTTCTTCCTCATTCTTGATTTGTCTAATGGCCATCCTGGTTTCTTCGATCGTTAGTTACGCGACATCTGTAGGACGGTTTGTAGGTGCTACTTTGATGTCCAGTGGATCCAGTAGAGCTAGCCTATTCAAGAGTTCCTCAAAGTATTCCACTCGTCTCTTTTTTTACTCTTGAATCTTGATGATTGGCTTGCTTTCTATTTCCTTGACCGGTCTCTCTGGCTTATTATATTTCCTTGCCAGTTTCTGCGTTGTGTCGTATAGCCGTTTCATACTCCCTTCTCTCGCAGATTTTTCCACCGTTGTTGCTAGGTCCTCTGCGTATTTCCGTTTATCAACTCTAATGTTCTTTTCGACTTGTTTGTTTACTTCTGTGTATTCGGATTTTGCCTTGACTTTCTCTGTCATTGTTCGGCTGTTGTTAATTGCTGTCTTCTTATTCTTCCTTTCTTGAATCTTGTCCAGGGTTTTGATCCATTACTTATGAGTGTGCTTCTTGTGGCCCACAACCTCCTGACATGTTGTAGTAAATGCTTCTTTGATCCATCTCCAGTAGTTCTCCATAGCAGTTTCCTCTTGGTACAATAGATCTTGTGAGGGTTGGAACCTGTTTTCTTGAGTTGGTCGAGTCTTTCAGTATGTCGAAGGAAGACTGTGTTGAACATTTGTAACGTTGTTCGTCCAATTCTCCAATGCTTCTTCAGTTTCATCTTGGCAACCAACATGTAGATCGTGACCTGAAGCTATGCCAGCTTCTCTCCTGGTTCTCACATCTTCCACTGACCTTCTGAATTTTTGAGTGATGCAAATATAGTCTATCTGTGTTTCTGTGTTGTGGTCCGGTGAGACTCATGTAGCTTTGTATATGCTTTTGTGCGGAAACATTGTGCCGCCTATAACCAACTTGTTGAATGCATATTGATTTGCAAATCTCTCACCATTCCCGTTTCTTTTTTCTAGTCAATCTATGTCGTCCCATATTATCTTTGTGCCCGGTGTTGTCCATTCCGACTTCGGCGTTTAGATCTCCCATCAGGATTGTCAGTCTCTTTCCTGTGCACTTCACTATAATCGACTGCAGCCTCCCATAGGACTGATCTTTATCGTGGTCATTAATATTATTGCTATCACCCATTGTAATTCCCTCCTTCGTTGTTTTGAAAGATGCTTTGATGATCCTGGATCCATGAGATTCCCATCCTACAAATACATTATGTGCTTCTTTGACAGCACCAGATTAACTCCTTGATTATGTGGAGCATTTTCTTCCACGTGACTAGGGTATAGCAACATCTGTTTTGAATCCATCCTTTTTTGTCCAACTTGGGTCCGATGGGTTTCACTGATTCCGAGCACGGTCAAGTTGTATCTCCTCATTTCGTAGCTATTCGATTGGTCCTTCCGGTCTTCCATATTGTCCAAACATCCCATGTACCTATAAAAATCGTTTCTCAGGTTGTTAAAAGGGACGTCAGCCTAAATCTATGCATCGTACATCAAAGTTATCGTTATTAATGGATCTAAGAGTGAGGTAGAAACTGAGTGTTTCTTCCTTTTCACTTAAGGGTTTTCATATTTGCCTCTGTGCTTCCATAATAGCTTCTCCGCAGTTCTCCATTCACAAAATTATTTACATACACCTCTCATCTTGGGTTTGAACCGTATAGATTACTTTTAAAGAATGTGGTTGATTGTCAGTAATTGTGCAAGCTTATCTCTGTCAACTTTTGTTGGCAAGTGTGCTGTTTGTTAGAATGCTTCAATTTTGCCTAGAATCCTTCCTGAGTTTTGATTTACAGTGTGTGTTTCGCCCTATAAATCAGTTAATGGTTTGACGCACGTTATTTATATGAATAAAATTCCAAAAACATATGTTCAGCATGTTCTTTTTTTCAATGAGTCTCCAGCTAACATCAGTCAGTGACAACATCTATCTTAACATATGTAAAACAACAAAACTGCGCAGGTAACTGAGGGCCCAATAAACGAATATCGAGCAAATAGCTGAGTTAATTCCGTAAAATTTAAATAATTAAAATTTGGATTATCAAGAAATCCAATTAATTCTTGCATGGATGGTCCAATTTTTTATTTACTAAGTATGAAAATTATCCTATGTCTAAGGAACACAATCAATCTGACAATCTATTAAAGCCCTTTGAATCTTGAAAGCAATCAAATTCATATTGGAAAGATATTTTTAATCTCTTCGTCCAAACGTTAATTTTTTACTTTAATAAAGTCATTTTAAATTTATTATAGAGAAAACAGGAAATACTCTGGAAATAAAAAAGGATGCTCAATCACATGTTTTTTGTATTAAAACTATCAGTATAAAAACTTTAATAAGTATCGTTGGGCAATATCTTTTATGCGTTCAACCCAATTTATTCATTTTATATCAAAAA